GGGGAGGGTGAGTGAGCGACTGTGTGGTGCTCAGTTGCCGACTGGGGTTAAACCACGACAGATGGTTTCCTCAGTTTCCCAGCAATCTGCACCCTGCTGAGGGCTGTAATACCACCTCACTGGCAGATTTAACATTTAACCCTCCCTTCCAGAAAACCAGTCACCCATCTCACCTCTACATCCACTCCATCCCATACCTGACAAACTCTTCTTCCACCACCAAACCACCCCAAAGCTGACGGAGATCCAGCTGCAGCAGCTGCGTGAGCAGCCGTAAGAGCGGCTCCCTCTCCTCTTCCCACAAGGATCCAGAGATCTTGGTACGGTTCTTCTTGTTCTAGAAAGGAGGTTACGCGATGTGATACATCAGCAGCTTGACAACAGAAAAAACACCATCGCCTGTTTCCCTCAAAAAAGAAAATGACTGTTAAATTCTACAGCATCGAGACATACAGTAAGATCTATGAGAAGCTTATATGCCCACATCAAATGACTGCTGCTGTCATCTTTGACCACAGAAGGGAACTCTTGAGAAATTACTGGCACGCTAAGTACCAGCCAGACACTGAAGAGCGAAAGAGAGGCCTGGGCATCTGAGTCCCTGCTGATGTTTAGACACATATTGTCCCTTTGGCTGTTTTCCACGTGCAGTTTCACAGAAATACCAGTACTCCACATGATGCACTGCTCTTGCCGGCACCATATTTAAATAAATCCAGCTATAACATCTGACAGATACCACAGAGTTCAGCAAGCTTACACGTTTTCTACTTTTATCATCTTGCTTTCCTCCCAGTCCCCTAACCTACCTTCCCACCAGGATCCACCTCCAACAAACCACTCTTGCAGGTTTCCATTTCAAAGGCATCCACCAGGCCAGTCAGCAAATAGCAGTTCATCTTGAGAGTGTTGAGGTGAGCAGCACGGTCTGCATGGCTCAGCCCAGAATCACCCAGGATGACAGGAAGTTCATTGGAATGATGGGACACCACTGAAGAGAGGCAGAAAGTCATGAGCACTCCTTGCCAGGCCGCTCAGCCACCCTCTCTTTTGGAGACTTAGAGCAGTCATCAGATTACCAAAGACGTGTGCTCACATCTCACCAGCTGTAACATGGGCTACCCCCTGCAACCCAAACCTTGGATGCGCTGTCCTATCCTATCCCCACAGCCCCCCGTCAGCTCATAGAAAAACTCACTCAGAGCTGATGCATCCCAAAGATGTATTTTCCAGGGACGCGGGGAAGGGGATTTTCTGTCGGCCTGCCCTTACAGCGAACACGCACAGCTCTGCATTGTCCACCAAGATTACAGACCCGTATTACTGGAATGGGCTGAAGGGGTAACCCAGCTGGTAGAGTCACATTAGCCTTTATATCATCATTGAGCTGCCGAAGGAGAGCAACCTCTCTGTTACTCCTGCTTCAGCTGGAAGCAGCCAATACCCACCGTGCATCATCAGCTCCAGGGCATCCTCCTTGACAGCAGTCCCCACAGCTCGGAAGTGGCTGCAGGGCAAGCACAGTGCATGAGAGCAGCGAGTAAACGCCATCAGGGAGAGGCGCGAGCACCCGGATGCACCAGCCTCTCCGCAACCCTCCTCCACCCGCCCCGCTCCCGGTGTCCCCGGGAGCCCCGGCCCCGCGGTCTGTACTCACTGGAGCAAGCTGTAGAGGGGGTCGAAGTGCTGCAGCACTGCCAGCGCGCCCCGCGCCCGGAAGGCGGTCCGGAAGGCTACGGGGAAACACGGAGAGGGGCAGGGGGGACGACACAGGCGGTTACGGCCGTGAGCCGGCGGTAGGAGCGGACCAGGCCGGAAAGGGTGCGGGGAGGGAGGCCCTTACCTACGAGGGCGGGCGGCAGCTCGCGGACGGGCAGCACCTCCTGCACGACGTAGCGTCCGGGGCCGCCGTCCCGCAGCAGGT